TGTGTGTGTGTGTGTGTGTGTGTGTGTGTGTTCTGCTTGAGATTTTACTGAAGTGTGCTGACACTGGCTAATGTAAAATTGACATACCAGCTAGTCATTGTCATTTGGGAAACGGGAACATCAACCGAGAAAATGCCCTCATCAGATACACCTGGGAGCAAGCATGTGGTGTATTTTCTTAACTGTTGATTGGTGTAGTAGTGCACAGCTCACTGATGATGGTACCACCCTGGAATGGTAGTCTTGGGTAATATAAGACTGCAGGGTGAGGAGGTGCAAGCCAGTAAGCAGTGATCTTTCATGGCAATCAGTTCTTGCCTCCACATTCCTGCCCTGTTCCAGTCCCTGCCCTGACATGCCTCAGTGGCAAACTGTGATGTGGAACTGTAAGTTGAAATACCCACCTCTTCAAGTTACTTGGGTTCATGGTATTTTAGCACAGTAACAGAAATGCTAACTAATGCACTAGAGTTTACTCATATTAGGAAGTATTTTCAGGTTATCTTCACCTCCACATTATTTTAGATTTTTAAAAGCAGAACATTTGAAAATGAAGAATAGCCGGGCGGTGGTGGCGCACGCCTTTAATCCCAGCACTCGGGAGGCAGAGCCAGGCGGATCTCTGTGAGTTCGAGGCCAGCCTGGGCTACCAAGTGAGTTCCAGGAAAGGCACAAAGCTACACAGAGAAACCCTGTCTCGAAAAACCAAAAAAAAAAAAAAAAGAAAATGAAGAATAGAAGGAAAAGTAATTTTTAATCCAATGGTATTGCTACTCTGTCAAAAAAATCAATCTGATAACAAAAGTTATCTCTATTATTCCAATTGAAAATGTGCAGTGGCTATTGTTTAGACTGAAAGAACTATGCAACTTAAAGAATAAGTTTGATAATAAATGATCTGTATTGCCTTTATTTTGCATGGTTATAAACTTTTCAAGCATCAAATCAATATGATGAAATGGAAAAAGAGAAATCTGCAAGGCTTCAATTACTAAAGGAAAAATTCTACTAATTGGCTTCTTTGAAAATTGTACTTACATTATTTGGAAATAAATTTAACTGATTTTTTTTTGTCTTGGGACAGGCAATGATTCCATTCTATAGTGTGGTATCCATGTATCTGTCCTTCTCAGTGAAGGGAGTCATGTCTTGCCTTGAGTCTTGTTTACCATGAATTATTAAAAAAATCTATCCCATACACACTTCTGTAAATTATGACTTTGTACATTTGACTTTCAGTTTCTATCTCACTCTCAAGTTCTATCATGATCTTTGTAGTTTGCATTTAGCACATTCATCAGAAGCCCACTTTTGCCTCTGTAGTTCTTGAAAATTTTACAAATTTTGACCAGACAGGGTGCAGAATTGTTTTTGAGTTTCTGCCATGAAATGTCTAATAACCCTGTCATTCTTCTGAAAATACTGTGTTAATAAATTCTGACAATGTGCAAAACATAGCGAGAAGACGAATCTTTGCTTCCCACACATCCTTTCTCCAAGTGGAAAAAAGAGAAAATGTGAAAAAGAGACAAAGATCCCACAATTAGGTCAGATAAGCCATTCCTGTAGAAAAACATTAGCTCCAAACCTTTCATTCTAGATCTCTGGTGAGAGGTTTTCTTCATAGTTCTCTTGTAAAAAATGACTACTTGCCTTTGGATGCTTAGACATCAGTGTACCTTGTATTTTTGTTTCTGAAAGCCAGGATTATTATGTTTTCATTGGTTGCTTTAATGTTCTTTTGAGTTTTACAGCACTAGAATAATTTCTTGCTTTTGCTGCTCTTCTTGAAAAACTAAAACTAAAGCCTCAACAAGATGGCCACTTTGTTAGAGAATCACGCAGAAATGAAAAGTGGTCACATGTTCCTTGCTTATTATTCAAGCATCAATTGTGATAAGGAAAACAATGCAGGCCTGTCACCTACTTATTTATTTTGGAAGTTTAGGCATACCTTGAGCTCACTTAGCAGGTGCAAAATTCTTACTGTATGTGTACAGATCTCTCTCTCTCTCTCTCTCTCTCTCTCTCTCTCTCACACACACACACACACACACACACACACACACACACACACATTTTTCTCCCACATGCTGTAAATGCAAAATAACCCATTAAAATTTAAAATGTGAGACATTAAAAATAAAAAAAAGAAACTCAAAGAAACTCATGCATTTTCTGTATGGCTGACTGAAAACTTTCAGCTTCCAGTAACTCATGTATACAAGTAGAAAGCATTGTCTTTGTTTGTACATAGATTTGTGCTGATTTTCCTACAAAAGTCATGACCCAGTATTACCTCAGGAGCCTAGGTTCACAAATTTTTAGAGGAAAAAAAAGCCTTTTTGATATAAAGTGGTAAAGGGAAGGATAGTTTATCAAAATTCAGAATATTGTTTTTGAAGTTAAAATAATGCAGTGTACTCTGCCATTGGAATTAGTGCATACCACTGAGCACCCAGCACTCTAAGTACAAATGCTACTAAGTGCTAGCACTGTTCCCTTCCTACTTTCTCCCAAGATTCCCAAACTCTGGAAAACTCAAAAGAGTGTTAATTAGTCTTATAGGCAAAAATGTTTGGCAGTTTTATGAAAAGTAAAAAAAAAGCAACTATGAAGTTCTTTGTCAGTATAACATCTAAGAAGTATCTCAAATGGTGTCTGTTAATCGCTATTTTACCCAACTGTCAATTTCATGTCACCAACACATCAAAAGGTGCAATTTTCAGAAAGCTTATTTCTGTCTGCATCTTTATATTGTGGTTTCACAACACAAATGACTGCTTAGATCCCCCCAGCAAATTGTACCCTCCCAATGTATGCACTGTTTGTACACAATGCATTCCTGTTTCCAGATAATTAATGCATCCCAAGGAAGTTCTAAATTATCAGCCTCAAATCTCACCATTTGTAAACTCAGAACATTTTCTCATTTCCATGCCACAGTTTTCTTGCCTTTCCCCAGTATCTTCTTTCATTTGTGTAAAACATAGTGTTGACTTAGGTGGAGTCCACAAGAAAACTTAGTATCTAAACAGAAGGATGCATAAGTGGAGTCGAGCAAACAAATGTGACAAAAGAAAACACTCACAGCCCAGCACTATTTTTAATCGTTCACATTCTTTACGGTGTCTTTTAGCACATTTCACTTGACACATCGCAGTGAGAGAAGGTAATTCTTGTCTTTCATTTCCCCTCCCATTGAGAGAGCAGGCACAAATAAGTCTCACCCTCACGATACAATAAACCGCTTTCTAAGTATCTCAGAGATCAGTTCTCTTCTCCATTTCATCTGTTTATTTCACCTTGAAATGTTTTAAACCTGACAAAAAAGTCATAAGAATTATTATTTTTAAGTCCAAGACTTTTCTACATTTTGAAAATCTGTGATAATACTTTTACATGAGTACAAATATATTTTCATAACCTAGAAAACACATATTGTATATAAATGTGTATATTTAAAAGTATGCAAAACAGTAGTTTAAGTTATTTTCTTTATAAATAGAAAATGTTTAAATATTTAACACACACACACACACACACACAACACCTTAACTATGCTGGATTTGGAAGAACAGTAGTATTTCAGTTAAGCCAAGGACACAAATTCATCTATTAAGTTTAATTTATATAAAAATCTCATAAATTTCACTTTGGTAAGACTTGAATTAAGGACAAGCAATTTCAAAGTCATCATTAATTATATAGAATGAATAGTACTATTTTTGATTAAAAGAGCAAAATGCCCATTAAAAATTAAATCTACATGCCAGCAAGATGGCTCAGCAGGTAAAAGCCCTTGGTGCACAAACCTGATGACCTCAGTTCAGCACTCCATCTTGCTATAGAAGGAGGAAGCCAACTCATAATGTCCTCTGAACTCCACATGGGCTCTGACACACTCTCTCTCTCTCTTTCTCTCTCTCTCTCTGTCTCTCCCCTCTCCTTCTCTCTCCCCTCTCCCTCTCCCTCCCCTCTCCCCCTCCCTGCATACACACACACACACGATAATTTTTTAATTAAATTTATAATTCTGATGCAATTTAATAAAACCTTTAAACATGTAGACCCTAATTTCTAATTTCTCTTTAAATAGTGAAAAACATTGCATACTTAGAATTATCTAGTTGATCTTAGGTCAGACGGTGATTTTTTTTTTCTTTATGAAGAAACTCATATTCAAGAATCAGTAGGACCAGTGCCTTCTCTGATTAGACCTTCTCATGACATTGGCCTTGGCCAGTCCTATGGAGAATTTTCAGACTCCTTGGTCTCAAGCTTGCAGGCACTGATACTGAAAATAAGCTCTTGAATGTTATCTTCTTTCTTCTACTGACAAGTGAAATGATCTTGGCACCTCCTGATGGCATGGATAGCAAAATATTTCTTCATGGGATGCTATTCTGGAGATATCTGAGTGACACGGTGTTTTGGGTCCTCAGAAGAGGAGTGTTATATGGTGTGTGTGTGTGTGTGTGTGTGTGTGTGTGTGTGTGTGTGTGTGTACAAACTTCCTAGCATTGCTCTTGTACCATCTGAGAGTGACAGGAGCATCCTTCTGTGCCTTTTGCATAGTCTTGGTGGAGGAGTGCAACGGGCTTTTAAAGTGAAGAAATTGGAATATTTTAAAGGGACATATACCACATAGTTGTCAAAGAGGTAGCTAATCTTGGTTGTCAGCTTCCACAACTGGAATTAACTCAAAAGAGACTTCTATGCACTCCCATAAGGGATTATCTTAATCAAATTATTTGAGGCAGGAAGACCCACCCTGAATCTGGGCCATACTTTCTAGGGTCAGGGGACATAAAAGGATACAGAAGAAGGAATCTTTGCTTTTTTGCCTCCTTGCCCTCGTTCGCTCTGGAAAGTTGGCCTATTTTGTTGCTGGAGCTGGGATTCAATTTGATTCCTTCAGGACTCCACCATAGGCTTCAGGCCAGCAGCTCTCTGGGAATTCATCAATACTCCACCACAAGATTTGGAAAGCTCAGACCTTCACCACGCTAGACTGAACAACTGGTAGATTCTAGCTGTGAGACAGCCATTGTTGGATTGCTTGAATTATATTCTGTAAGGAAAATATATATAGATATAGGCAGATAGACAGATATTCATGTATATACTAGAAAGCTATAAAATATAATTTTAATATATATTTAATATAATATATATTGCCTACCATATATTAAAGTGTCACAATTTTTGGTATATTAATAAAAGTCCATAGATTGGTGTTTATGTTTACCCGGCATTCTACCTTGAAAATTAATCTTTTTCTGTAAAACTAATCGAGTGTACAAATATATTAAACATTAAATATATGACTTTTAAGAATGTATTTACAGGAGGGCCAGGAAGGTGGTTCAGTAGGTAAATGCATTTAGCAAGTCTGAGAACCTGAGTTTGGTCTCTAGGACCCATACAATGAAAGGAGAGAACCACCCTGGCCTTCTTACATCTACGGTGGACTGTATGCCCATGTGCATGCACACACTCATGCGCGCACACGCACGCGCACACACACAAATAAATGTAATGAAATAATTTAAAATTATATTCAACAATCATTAACATGTAAATACTATGTAATTGTAAAAGTTCTTTACCCAAAAGTAAAGTTAGTTCTTGTCTGTTAGTGGCAGTTACACCATTAAATAGAAAACAAACAAAAGACAAGCTGGGAAACAAATCTCTAGTTTGGACCTTTAATCTATACTTAAATGTCTGACTCATGTGTTACTGCAAAATAAGCAGAATTCCTAGCATGCAAATCTGGAAACCTTATCATAACATCCTTCTAGTCCTGGGAGGCAGCTGGAGGGAATGCTATCATATTGTGCAGCATACCTAGCACTACAAACACCCATCCCATGTTACATGTTAGCCACTGACAATGTGGAGGAGATTCTTAGAGGCATTGCCTCCATACAAAAGGAGCCCAGCAACCTGCAGCCAGAGTGAGGCTGAGCAAAGAGCCAACAGAAACCCCAGTTGGTCTTTATCTCATGTATTTATTAATTTATTCACTTACTTACATACTTACGTACATACACATTTAAGTCTTTTAGAGGAGCAAATCATAGGTTTAGGTTCTGAGGTCCTTATCCATCTCCGATCATCTGATAACACTAAGATTTTTAGGGTAGCATAAAAGCATAATGTGTATTAATAAGATAACTTAATATAAGGACACAAACAACATACTAAATAACTTACCACAGAGCAAGCAGAGTTAAAGGCCCAGCAAGGACAGGAATTTAAAACAGATTTTATCCTTAAAGGAGAACTTGAAACAACATTGGGTAGCCTTAAATACAATGCACACAGATATCTGGGCATTCAAATAAATAATGATTGTATAAAAGCTCAATAAACAACATGAATAATCAAGTAAATTCATCAAAAGTAGAACATGTGAGCTGAAAAATTAAGTCAAGAAATTTAAATATAAAACAAAGAAATTAGCAAGTAAAAAATAATAGAATAGAATGAAGAAATGTGTATAGCCAAATATGTGATTAAATTTTTAGGATGAAAGTAAAAACATGAGATTAAGAAATACGTGAAATGAGCCGGGCGCACGCCTTTAATCCCAGCACTC